CTTAGTCATAGTGGCTAGCAGACACCTGTTCGACTGTTTGGCCCCATTCTTGTGGGAAATGCATGGAAAGTAACTAGGCCAAAGCAAACGAGAATTCAAACGAGAAACGATAAGGCGTTTAAGTAAAGAAAAACTCATATTCCTGGCAAAGGATTTTGCAGACATTTTGCAATTTCGCTTTCTCTTGAACGACTTTTTTGATTACAAATTTTTGAGTATTCTCTTTTTTTCTTTTTTAAATTTTTTCATTTGATTTTTGATTTTGCAAAAAAACTTCCCAACTACTTACTGCAGGCATAAGTTGATCTGTACTTCGGACGCGAGTCACCTTGTTTTTGGTAATCATCTTCTTGACGCAATGCTCCACCTGCACGTTCCACTTCATGAAGGTCACATAGGCAATGTATATGGTAAATAGGATGAGCGCCTCCCACCAGAAGATGCGATTGTCGCGAAAAAAATAGATCAGCACCAGCAGGCTGATGCTGTAGAATGAGCAGTCGCGGAACAGAGGCCACCAGGTCAGCGAGAGGACCGTTCGCGAGAACAGCGCACACATTCCAATGACAAACAGGATGTTGAAGACAGCCGATCCCACAATCGTACCAATGCCAACATCGTCGAACGACACGAAAACGCCAATGACACTCGTGAAGAGCTCTGGTGCACTGCCACCCGCCGCCATAAACGTTGCGCCGGCCACATCGTCCGTGATGCCGAGCTTTTCAATGATTACGTCAAGGGAAGGCACGAAGAATTCATCGCAGACAATTGCCAGCGCCACAAACATGTAAATAACTCCGATAATGTGCAGGATGACAGCGCCGTTCTCAAGCTGTTCTTTCGTGAATAGATCCTTTGGAAATAATGGCGTTTTCGTGGTGTTTGAACTGTCGGTTAGCGAGTCTGCAACGAAAGACATAAACAGAAATTCGTTATAATTAATTACAAATAATTGACTGTTGCTCTAGTTAATATCTCGGTATTATTAAAATTTACATTGGGAATGAGCAGTATCCATATCATGGGCATTGTCTCTTTTATTGCTCTGTAGTACTATTCGTTCCTTTCTCATTGCTCTATTGCTCTTAGAGAGAGAAATGCGCGCAATTCGAGCATCCCCAAGACTCACTTTTAAGATCAGAGACAGAGGTCGAGCTGCAAGACCACTGCTAGTAGCTCTACTCGACGACGCGAAGAATACTTTTGGCTCTAGTTTCTCAAGTTTTTCAATGCGAGAGACAATTCAATTTATTTTTCTTAACATAGCTCACGTAAAAGAATATCAAAAACTACCTTTCAGCTCTCTAACGGAACATCGTATAATATCCAGCCATCTATCGCAAAAATTGATGTTCATCGATAATACGGATGGTGTTATCGATTTTTAGCAAACAGTAAGTGCAAGCATTTTCAGCTACGTTAATTATCAATGGCATCAGATTTGATTTAGGCCTCTGAGATTTTATACATTCCCATTATTATTGTTCATATCATAACTATCGTTATCATTCATAGTTTTAAAATTTCTAAAATATAATTCTATAAATAATTTATTGACTTTCAGAAACTCGGCAAATCCAATTTTACGAATAAGTTAAGAACTAAAAAAATCAATTTAGAATAACTAGAATGCCTGAAAGCTTGCTAAATAAATATTCAGCGAACGTGCCGAATTTGTCATTGCGAATTATTGAGGAAGTCTGACCTTTAGTTAGCACAGAGAAAACGCTCCCAAGACACTTAGACGCAACATTATAGAAACATAAATACCCATATTACAATTACACATAGATTTATCTAGGCACCTTGCGCATCAGGTGAGTGGAGCTACGGTTACTACTATTCCCCAATTACACATCCACAATTAAGTAGCACGACCTTTTGCTGGATGACAAAACAAAACAGAAGATAAACGCGTGCAAATCGCTGCTAAAACGCTTCGTAGTCGGCACCTTTTGAGAAGCGCGCGATTTGCCGTGGCAATTAACCGCAAAATTATGCAGCACATTTTGCAACAATTAGCAAATCGAGACTACAATTGCAACAGCAACAAATGCAACTTCTCAATTGGAGTCGATAATGGCAAATGTTAATGTTTATCATTAATTTGCGGTATTTTTGCAGTTTTCTTTTTTTAATTTTTTTTTGTATGAGCAATCGTTTTGGCGCGTGTGCTAAGCAAATAATCGGCGCGTTTTAAATCGCCTGGAGCAAAAAAACACTGATTCTTGACTGATTCATGTCATTTCACACACCCAGCACTTATTAGCTGTAGATGAAAGGGTATAATAAGTGGTGTTTGCATATGTAATGTATATACATTGCCTTAAATATGCTGAGTATAGTTGGGCTCGTGCGGAAAAATTATTATTATATTATTATTGAGATTATTTTTTTTAGATTCTATTCATTAGAGATCTGTATAAATGTCTTGGAATTACATGAATAATTGAGAGTTTAGATATAATATGGCATATATTCATTTCGTATGTAAGTATATATTTACTTTATACATATATTAATCATTATATTCCATTTTCATGTATTCAATTATTTTAGGGCATCAATATAACCTTAGCTAAATGCAAAGTGGCTTTATCTTGCTGATTGCAGGGTATCGATCGGTCTATATAAATAGTTGGCTATCGTCTAAGTCATTGTTCTTTGCCTGGTTTGTCACTTGGACTGCAAAAAAAAAAAAACTTTCGCTTTTTCATAATACCGCCTGAGGTTTGATTATTCTTATTTGAATAAGAGTAATTCGCTTATCAAAGTGAGGGTCGAATATGTGGTGGCATTGTTTCATCGTATTTATACTTTGTTCTTGGTTTAAAATTGAGTCGGCTCGTCGCCTCATTGTTGACTCACTGTGGCAGTTGGGCCTCGGTCAACCAAGAGCTCGAGTCGTGCTAGATATAAAACCGGTTTCTCGGTTTCTGCTGAGAGTCGGAGTCACTTGTGATTTGCATGCGGCTAACGGGCTGTACACACCCAACCAACCCACCCACCCACACTCACACACACACACACAAGTGCACAGTGGTTAACCCAGCTTTCAGAAGGTGTTGCAGGCAGCCATCGCCTCATTCCCGACTCGCCCCCAAATCAGTTTCAAATAACACTCAACTGAGGAACGTGCGCTATTATTCAATGCTTCAAATGAATCACCTGCCAAATGCTTAATGAATGACGATTGCAGCATTTTCTGTAGATCTGTATGATTCGCATGGGTCTGTTACCGTTCGACTATTAGCTTTAACGGGACTTTACTCAACGAAATTCTCGCTAATCGCCTTTTTACATATATATTGAAAATTGGGATTGGAAAAACTATATCAACAGGTTTCAAAGTTATTAATCATCAAATCCGATAATTATGCTTGTACTTAGATCACTTCTAGGGTATTTGCTAGCCCATCAAAGAACAGAGTTGCGCATGTTGACTTGTTTTTACTCCGCAGGTAAGATAATTTGTATTTTGTTTGGATGTGGGCGTGAAATCGACTCGACTACAGTTAGCTACGGGGGACAACGCTTTGAATATCAAACCAGATCATCGAGAAATTATGTGTTCATAATATGCAAATACGATTACATTTATGACTAAGTGTAAAGCTAGGCTAACTGACGGATGACTGGCAAGATAATAGGGAAGTGATCGAAGTGACGGTAGACCTAGGCTCAGGAGCTCGAAGGCAAGTTCCACTATATATATAACTTTAATTAATATCTTGAAATAAATATATAAATTTATAAAATAGAGTATAGAGGAAATATGATGTGATGTGTATATTTCTAGAAAGTGAGGAAGTAAATATAAAAGCGGTCAATAGTAAATATTAAAAAATGTACGATAAGTTGAATATTTCGTAGCGTAAGACTGAGGACTGTATCGTACATCTTTATCATTCAATTTTGTTCTATAACTATCTTATTTAATTTTGATATACGATTAATAATATTTTTGTAAGGAATTCGTATTTTTATATAAACTATATTTAGATTTATTACTTTTTCATTACCATCAAACTTTTGAGAATCTTGATCTGAATTAAAGAACTAAGGCAAAATTAGAAGCTTATTGAAAGATTCACTCAGCTTATCATTTGAGAAAAAGATTTTGTGATATATACATCGCTCCATAGAGACTATAGAGAGAGCGAGCGGAAGCGCGTATAAATAGAATCGTTGATAAAACACTAAACAAATTTTTTATCATAGACTGTGCGAAGAGAGTTAAACAATGAGTAATGGGGAACAGTGGATGAATCTTTCATTTTCATAAATACTTAAGATTACGATAATTATAATTAACAAGTAATTACACAAATTATAGGTGTTGACAAAGAAAGAGGAATGTTTATCTATTGAATAAATATGTATACAATGAATAATTAAAATCTGATATACAAAAAAGATCATAGTATTCAATAAAATATATAGATCATTCCAGATCTACCAAAACAGAGTTGTCTTGTATATTTTTGTATAACATGAAGTTTGCATTAAAATTATAATAAGGTAAGTAAATGTAGGCTGAAATGAATTTTTATCTGGGCGTTACGTAGCTCTTACTAAAAATCAGAATACCCGCTTTGAGTGTATTTCGAATATTTGCAACTTCGAAGTGCCTGAACGTCTCGAGTTGAGCAACAAATTTAGCAAAAACTTCTGAGGCTTGTTTATTTTGCTGTTAATTGCTTTTGTTCTCCTTTTGTTAGCTCACATTTGGCGGCATGTGGGCGCGTGCCGGATTCTCTGTCTACCTCTCTGTCTGCCATGAATTGGCGGACAATTGCTGGAAACCAGTTTCAAGTGCCGAAATGCCACAATCTCAATTTGCCTAACTGCATGCAATCGAATTGATCATCAGCTCAGAAATCTTCTAGAGCAAACAGTGCACACCCACACACAGACACAGCGACAGATAAAGATTGAGAGAGAGAGAGAGAGAGAGAGACAATGAGAGATACTACTCATTCAAGCTATGCGTCATGCGTTGACTCTCGCTAACTGGAGAACAAAAGGCGCATTCGCAATTCGCCAAAACAGTTCCAAATCGAAGCTCGAGTCGCTCAGATGGCAGCAGCAACCGCATCAGCAACATCAGCAATTCCAAAGCTGTACGTCAGCCGTGCCAAAATTCAGCTGAGGCAGCCAGCAGCCAAGGCGCCTCCTCTCACCTACGAGTGGCGCACTCAGGTCACGGGTCAGGCGCAGGAGGCGCCAGTGGAGTGCATTAAGAGCAGCTCAACTGCTGCAGCCGCAGGAGCAGCAGCGACTGGAGTTGCAGCAGCAGCTGCAGCAGCAGTCACACCCACTTATACACCTCCACGCATACAAGGCAACGAGGCGCAACGCAAACAACTGCCACAAACCCTGTCCAACTTTTTCGCAGCGGAGCGCTACGACAGCGCCTGGAATCGGCTGACTAAGTGAGAGGAAAGAGTCAGCATATACATATATGTAGTATATATCAGATTATGTGTGCCAATGTGAAGAATTTGTTACTAAAGTACGCCCTAATGTGCAAATAAGATTAATTTTATGAAATAAAAGAAACTTAGTTTTAACAAAAGTATTTAAAATGTTATCTTAAAATATTTAATCTAAATAAATATACAAATTTAAATTACCAATGAACACAGCTTTAGTTTTTTGTATATGTATATATATGCTCTTATATATTTATATTAATAAAATTAGCTACTGGTCCAGCAAACGGCTTTGTTTATAGGCTCCATTACTGATCAAAGAATTTATCTTGTATTTCAAATAATTAAAAATATTCATTTGTCTACAAGTATATATATATATATATTCTACATGAATAGTGCTATGCGTGTCATAATTATCAGCTTTGTACAATAATTGACATTCAAAATGCGTTAAAGCACGTAGTTGGCATATGAAGCGTATTAATACCCCGTAGCTAAAAGCTGGGCATGATGAGGTGTCTTAAAGAGACCTAGATAGAGTTGTATGGGTTAGGCCCAAGAATATATATATATTGGAGAAGCTACATATATAAATGCATATTTGTATGTCTGTCTCACTCTCCCTATCTCTCTCTCTCTCTCTTCCTTTCTTCCCTCTCTCTCTCTCTCAGTGATTCACACCTTACATGTTTTAGATTAAATATTTACAATATTTAATTTTACGATTTCATTTTAAGCTGCTTTCATAACATCTACAATATAGACTTATTTCATTTGTGCATATCTAAGAAGGTCAGCGCTGAGTTGATACCCTAAGGTGAAGCAACATATGTGCAGGGGGTATATTGATTTTGTGCCCGACAAATGTTAGCAGCTCTATAGCTTTATAGGTAAGTATAGATACTCTATGAATTTTATGAAATGAGTCGATTCAGAAATTACAAATTTAATATTGGTGTGTTCATATATTATGGAACATTATATTGTAATCAAAATCAGACTAGTTCATTTTAAAAGTAGGCATAATTACACTATTAATTGGTTGCTATGTATATTAAGAAAGACTGGGAATTGAAATAAAGTTCATATAAAGAAGTTAATCTAGCAGTATGATAGATTTTATTTCGACATGGAATTGCTTAGTCGTGAACTCCCAACTAAAGTGCAATGGCTTTTTCATCCGACTTTGTTGACTTTTAGCTCCACGTTTAGCTGATTTATGAATCAAGAGAAGGTTTATAAATTATCGCATTAACACGCTGCGAGCATGTAGGAAAACAAGTATCTTCCATTGACTAAAATCATTGAGAGCTGGGATTGATTATTATCGATTTATGGCCAACTGACATGCATATATGTATATATATATATATATGTAACTATACAACTCTGTTGTGCTCTCTTATGAGTGCGAAATGAATTTGTTTCAATGGGTTAAGTTCGGCTGAAATATTTGCTGCCAGATAAGAAAATCAAAAGTCAGCTCATATACAGGCAGCAAAAAATGAAAGAGTTCGCTTTTTCGTTTTATCTGCTTCTGGTTTTTCTCTTCTTCTGTGTTTATCTTTTTCTTTTCTTTTTTTGTTTTTGCTTTTTTCTGCGACGTCATCAATGTGCATAAATCACGGCTGAACAAACGCACAAAATTACGCGAAGCCGACGTCATTGGACCGGAAGTTCATTATGGGTAGGGCGGAAGATTGGTGCAAAGCAAAAGCTAAGCGAACATACAACTGTCTGAGTATACTTGCGTGAGTGTGTGTGTGTGATAGAGGGTGTGTGTGGCCACATGGTTTCACGCTTTGTGAAGCAGCTGCTAATTTATCAGGAGAGACAGCGCGCTTTGGCACGGCGGCAAGTTTCAAGGTAAGCAGCGCCTGGCGAATCGATTAGCCCAGCGGGTGTGGAATGGGGCAGGTGGAACGAAATGGAAGCGGAACCTGCGCTGCACATGCAAATTGAGAGCGCTTGGGGAGTATGCTATGTGGGTTGCCCACACCGCCACACCCTGCCCCTACCACGCCGCCAGGGTTGTCAAGTGTGCTTGCTGCTGTTGAATCAATGCAGCAAAAACTGTGGCAACTGCCAATCTGGCAACGTTGCACGAGTGCCACTTAAGCCTAGCCACATCAACTTTATGAGTTGGCAGTTACGACAGAACGAAAGAGCTCTGACGAAGGTTAGCTCAGGACCACCTGCAAAATGCAAATAGCAAGGGAGCGACCTATCGTGCCCCAGTTGGGAATGCCCAGCTACCCTATGCCCTGGAGCCATGCAGAAGTCTACTATTTCCATAATTTTATATCTACTTATCGACTCTAGGTTATTACCTTTCATTAACAAATAGAATTCAAATATGTATGTAACTTTCGATGGTTATCGAAAATAGAAAATAGATTTTCAAATATGGAATTGTACATATCAATAATTATCAATAAAAGACATTCAAATATGGAATAGCTAATGTTTCTAATCTGCCTAAAATCTGCGAAAGGTAAGTTTTTCAGTTCTTCAGTTTTTATTGATTCCAAGTCATACATGAACTATTGAAACAGTAAATATCGATTATTATCGAAAAGGAAAGGCAAAAAGGATGACTTTGCAAAAAAACTAAAATGTAAAATTAGACAAGAATAAATATTTCAAGTTTCTTGACTTTGTAGTTCATGAGATAAATGGGGCTCTCAATATACATATTTATAGATATGTATATAGAGGAATGACATATTCGATACTTGTGATTGCACTTGTATAGGTAGATCTGTCAAGACGGCCGACAACAACTCAGCTGTCATAAATTGCCTCCACTGAGTGCGGGCTGCTGTGACACTTCTCTCTAGATCAGTGGATGTGGTGTCAGCGTGTAAATATTTGAATTCAATGTGTCGAGCTTCAATGGCGATACGGACACCCACCCGATATACTCTTTTCACCGGATGAACAAGCGTTAAGCCCTCGAGCCCACATTTTCGCAACATTTGCACGCTTTTCAACTTATTGTAAAAAGTTTTCCCACAACAACAACACTTTGTAGCTAATCAGGCTGAAGGCTTCGCTCCTTCCCGCTCGGGGCCAGCTCATAAATAGTTAAGGGCTAAGCTTTCTCCATGTGGTCTAGAAAGTGCCAAAATTATGGCGAGATGGGCAAAAATCTAAAAAGGGAAAACCATGTCTCAAGAGTGCCTGGCAAGGCTCTCAAATAATTTATGGCGCGTCTGCATATTTTATTCTCCCAGCAAGCGCAAACTTTCCCCTGCATAAGTTTTCAATTTGGCTGAGTAAGTTTCCCAGCAAAAGGCATACATATTATGACTGGCCCACTTAGACAGCTCATCATTCTCAATTTCAAGCTCGTAGTACTTATTTACTGATATTATTTTACTTTCTAATATCAATTTCACACACGTTATACTCATTTACTAATATTTCTAAGCAGCTATAGAATTTCGTGTTAAAGCATCTCGGGAAGTCCAATTATAATCAGCAATCACTATACCAGGTGCCCCACTCTCTGAGTCAGCCTGGGTATTTTTGCTTGCCACAAAAAGTCGGTGATTGTACAACTATTAATTATTAATGTTTTAGATTTACATTAATTAATTTTTTTGTATAAATTGTCAAATTTATGTATTTAATAATAATAATAATTATAATAAAATAATTACATTTAAAGTATAAACTAAAAATATTAAATATTCCATATAGTAAATATTAAATATTCAGTATAGTAACTGTGTTTTCTTTTTATACTGGCAAACAGTTTCTAAAACGGGAAAAGCACTGTACTAAAATAAATGCTAATTAGCCTGATATCCCGCCAGCTCATTCCCCAACTAAGGTTACTTAAAATATGATTTATATTCGAAGTGCTCCTTACTGATAATTACATAATTGTAATTACAGCCCAGCCACTTAAAAGGCGCATTTAAATTTAGCTTACGGCCAATTTAAAAGTTTATAATTAAATGCACTTATGAAATGAACGCAATTCTCAGCTGAATAACATTTGCCATCAATTATTAGTTTAGGGCCTAATTAAGGCAAATGCCATAAATAATTGCAGGCAGATTAATTTGCGCCCAATCGGGATGAATGTGCATATCAAATTGATTTCAATTAAATTGTTAAATAAACAATTTATTTCCACTTTCCGTTTAGTTTTGCTGCGCTGAATTTAAATTCGTGTCAGCAACCTGTTTTAGCCGAACGTTGCAAATGAATTACGTATTACAGTTAAATTCCCCCATGGCATGTGTGGGAGCGAGAGAGACAGGGACAGATGATTGACAATAATAATGACATCTAAAAGATATGTATACTATATACATGACTCATCCTGTGTAGCAGCTGCTGTTTTAAGATGAATGCATTAGCCAAGACCGGGGAATAACTGGAATAACCCGTGGAGTTCGACAACTGATGATCCTGCTGACTCACATTGATGTCTAAAGCCGGGACATGACAGCAAAAGTCGTGTTAAAGTTGCTGTCAAACTTAACGTGCACATTCAGCTGGCAACACTGGTCAGGTGCTAATAACCGACAAAGGCAAAGGCAACTTTAATGTGCCCCTATACATCTAGTAACTTTCAAATTACCAGTGATTATATGAAATACATATTTCGTCTTTCCTTATTAAAAGTGACTGTTAGTAAGTAATGACAGTTTTACTTTAGTCTATAATTTACTTTTGTTACAGACTAAAGTCTAAAGGGTTTATTGTATAATTGAATGAGGCTAAGGATTAGTTGATGTGAGTCTGAAAGCAGCTTTAGATGCGCTCGAAGCTAACTCGAATCTAATCTGACTGCCAACAACAATCGAGAAAGGCTAAAAAGAGTATATCCTTTAGTGCGATGTTGAATAGAACAGAATGCTGAATTAGATCTGAATTTAAGAAGTAAGCAAATCGTGCATTACAGCTTCACTCACAAGTCATTAAAAGGGGTTTGATAAAAGTCTTAGAAGGTAGATGTTAGCTTAAAGGAGCCAACATAAACATTATTCCACATATTTTTATGCCCGGGCTGCA